CGAGCGCAGGGGCTCAGCTCTCCTCTAACCAATCCCTTTATCTGCTGCACTCGCCATTCCTGAGGAAAGGCATATTAAATAAAATTGAATCAATTCCTGCCACAGCAAGAAAAAAGCAGATTTAGTCTAAATCCAAATTTTCCTATGATTTTTTTTTTCTCTCAAGGTAGAAGTAAAGCATTATAAATTATGCTCCTGTTAATTTAATTATATCGCCTATACGACACAAAGACCTTCCCTATCGTTTTCCGTCACGGATCAGCGCAAATCGCGTCTTTCCATTGCGATTATTTTGCCCAGCGTTACAGCGCTTGCAGCAGCAAACCAAAATGTCTCCCCAAACCCTGAAAACATTCCTCCCCAGGTCCCCGGCAGCCCAGCCCCGGCCCGGCCCCGGCCCGTGGCCAGCGCTGCCGCCGAGCGCGGCCGGGGCCGCTGCCACCCGCGGGGACGGGGCCCGGCGGCCCGGGGGACCCGCGGGGCCCGGCCCAGCACGGCCACTCCGCTGACGTCACGGCTGAAAAAACAGCCACATTTCCTCCGTGCTCCCGCTCTGGGACTGCTCCGAGGTGCCGCAAAAGTCTGACCGTACAGAGCATTTTTTTATGGGGCTGATGGGACCGGCGGTGCAGGACCGGTGGGATTTTCAGAAAAAATGCCAGAGTAGTCCAGTGACTTGGAAAAGCATTTTTAGTGGATGACATAACTTTAATCATTACTCCATGTCCTGGGCATGTGCTTAGGCTACTCCTGTCTCTAAGTTTCACCTGGTTTCTGTCCCAGTGACCCGCACACAGGGAGCAGCGCAGGGCGAAGGCGGCCGGAGGGATCCCGATCCGCCCGGTTCTGCCGAGCTCACAGCGCTGCCCGGCTGCACCCGTGAGCCGAACAGATCCTCCGTTACAAATGAAACAGGGACACCGGGAACACATCAAATCCTGCCGTTAGCAGATTGCTGTTGCCCACCGAGCATGCAGCAGAAGCCGGGAGCTCTGGTGCCTCGGCACCGGGCTCCCAGCGCATTCCACAGCCCGTGCTCTGCGAGAAACAGCAGCCACAACACCCAGCGACACTCACTGACGGGAAGCTTTTGTTGTGTTTTGAATCTAAAACGCAACTGAAGTGAGAAACATCAGCCTCAGTGCTACGCTCGCGTGAAAGCATTCCCAAAATCTGGAGAGGGCAAGGCTTCCCCGCAGCACGGAGGCTTCGGGGTTCCTCTCCTTCCTTCCTGCGAGGGACGTGCTGCTCCGCGCTCACTGCACAGCAAAACCAAGCCCAGCCACCGGCAGGAAAGGACTCAAAGACGAGGAACAGAAATACATGGTGGGTCTTCCTAACAGCATCCAAAAGTGATGCTAAAACAATACCTGACACACGAAAAAGAACAAAAGCCTGAATATTTCTCTTTCTCACCCCAAGCAAATCTTAGAATGCATTAATGAAAAATTACGACATAGCGACTGTGGGTGTTTGCTACCTGGTCCCCTGAATAAAAACCTCTTTTAGAGCCTTTATTTCCAGAACTTAAACAGGAATACAGATCTTCCTATACATTATATGCAGTGCTTAGGTATGCAATACGTATCCTGGAACAGTTATTTTCATAACGTATCTTTTTTTACTATCAAGAACTGGGGCAAATCGCTATATAACACTGGGCAGTGAGAGAAAAACAAACCAGAAAGGCACAACCACAAAGAAAAAAAAAAAAAAAAAAAAAAAAAAAAAAAAAAAAAAAAAAAAAAAAAAAAAAAAAAAAAAGGAAAAAAAAAAAAAGAAAAAATAAAGAAAAAAAATAAATACACAAATGGAAAATAAATGTATCATTTATAAATACTAATGCTTTGTAGTAGAAAGCACTGTTATGAGTGATACAATAAGTAAATTCATTTAAGCAAAGAACCAAAATACAACTACCACAAGCCTTCTATTTTGAAAAAAAAAAAACCAAAAAAACAAAAAGCAAAAATCCATTAATTCTGAAGGTTTCAATTCTCAGAAAGAAAACTTCTTTAAAAAAACCCCAAAACAAAACAAAAAACAAAAACACAGTGTAAGGTTCCAAAAGTGCAGCAATTTGGCGAAGTTCTAATTAAAATCAAAGAGATTCTGCTTGACTGGGGCTTGTGAAAGCCAGCCTTCCCTGGTGCCACTGCTCTGGCTTGTGTGGTTTTTTTTTTTTGTTTTGTTTTGGTTTTTTTTTTGGTTGTTTTTTTTTTCCTTAAAAACCTTGCCATCGAATGCACCTGACCCTCAAAATCCTAAATTTTAGCAAAATAAGTACTTTGCATTAACTCAAAACATCAGTATGCTCTCATGCAAGTTGAATTCTTTCTTTAAAAAGAGACCAAAATACATGTCCAGCTTATCCCACTGACATACTGATGATATTTTTGTGATAAATTACATTTATCAGGCACCTCTGACTACTTCAAACTGGGCTTGGGCTACTAATCCACCTCCCCCAGGATTTGCTGTAACATTCCAAGCATAAAAGTATCTTCCCACAGCCAACATTTTTCTTAAAAAAAAAATAAAAAGCAAAAAGAAAAAGAAAAACTGTTTTCACCCTTCCCCCTAATGTGAAATGCCCTCATCCAAGGATGGGCAGCAATCATTCCTGACCCAGGGAAAGGTGTAAGGTCTGATATCTGACCCATCAGAAGCTTGCTTTCATTAGAAAGATGAGACACCATTTTCCCAAAGATATATACACAGCACTTGATTATAGTCCTGGGAGTTCTGGAGAAATCTGACCTTTTAAATTACATTACTACGTACAGAAAAATCTATTTAAGGCAAATTTCAGGAACTGAGATATTTAAGTAAACTTTATTCTCTCTCTCTTTTTTTTTTTTTTTTTTTTTTTTTTTTTTAAATTTTTCCCAGTTATTTGTAAATAGGACTCAGGATAACAAAAATCATCTGATATTACTGATCCCTGTCTTGCTCCGTGCCGGTCCCATTCCATCTCACTAGCCCAAGGCATTCTCACTGAGCACACAAGCATTTCCCATGCCGGTGTTCTGTCCTCTGCTGGAGCTGCCTCTCCCAGCTCGCTCACGGCTCCGCTCCCCACAATCTGACGGATGAAGCTGCCCCTCTGCACAGCCCAGGGCCACTTGCACGGACACACAGCTATTTTTATCCTCTAGCAACCATAAACGAACATTTCTCCAGCTCTGAAAGGGCACGCAATCCGTGTCAGCACAGTTTCACATGTTTGCTCTTTTGGGCTAATAAAATCTCAGAGAAAACAAATTTTGATTTACCGTGTCTCCCCTCCCCTTGCCGTGAGCCGCTGCCGCTGTCAGTCCTCGGGGGCACACACAGCAGGGCACCATGTCATGTCACACTAGGTGCTGGGATTCAACAAAGGCCAACATGTTGATATCTTTTTATTGCTCGGCAGCCTGGTTACCCCATTTTCCCGCTCTACAATTGGACACTTTTGGTAATACGGGAAGTTCTGAGGCAGTAACAATTCTGTTTTCAGTCAGAAAAGTATTTTTGTTTTACAAAGCAATAGTCTCTGATCTTGCTTTTTAGGTCACTAAGTACAATTCTTTATTTTACAGAAACTATAGTTGGGAACTTAGAGAGTACATTTATTTGCAATTAATGTAAATATTTACATTGCCAAATAATGCTTTTTTAGGTAACCTAAAGACTATTCGACATTCTTTACTAATTAACAAAAATATCTAAGGTGTTGCTACCTACAGAAAAAGAAGTTTCACCGATCTACAACTGCAGCTACCACAGGGTGGTTTATTTTGTGTAGAAACGAAAGGCAAAGCCTGTGGACGGGTTCCTTGAACCGGGCACGAGAAAACCCCAAAGGTGCCGCAGCCCCAGCCCCACAAGGGCGGGATGGCGGCAGCCCACGGGCAAGCCCTGAGTTATTCCCATGCACAGCGCCCGGGCTATGGAGGACTCTGGGAGCTAGCGAGGGCTGCAGCATGAAATAACATGTTTTGTTGTAATTCCTAAACAGGGGGACATTTATCTGGGCCATTTATACAAGAGTTATAACCCTCACAATATTTATACTCAGCATGTCATGTTAGCATTTACTACCCGTTTCCATGGAGATGGATTTTCATGCTGTAGCTATGAAATGCACATTGTTGCCACTAAGCCACTTCAGGCCTTTCTGGATGCCTGCTGAATGCCTGACAAAAGTTGATGCAAACCAATAGTTGTTGTTCTTTGTTTGTTGCCAGACTTCTAGCAGAGCCATATTATGTCCTAGTGATTGAAATGCCCATGTTCGCCCCCCTCCCGGCACAAAAAGGATCCTCAATTTAGGTGACAAGCATGAAGTGGGCTTCTGCAGGGGAGGGCGGCCCGGCGCGGGGCCGGGCTCGTCCCTGCGCGGGGCCGCGGCGCGGCGGGGGCCGCTCCCGACAGCGCCTGACATTTGGGGATAAAGCCGGAATAAGAGAGAGCGCGGGCAGCGGTGGCCGGGCCCGCCGCCGTTCCAGCGGGCCGGCCCGCAGCGGCGGAGAGACTGCCCCGCCGAGCCCCCGGCCCGGCCCCGGGCAGGGCACCGGCCATCCCGCGGGCCGGGCCTCGGGCCTCTCGAAGCGGCTCCGGGGCAGCGGGCGGCGGTGGGACGGGACTCGCGGCGGGCACGAGAGTGCCGCGGGACGGGCACCGGGACCGGGCCGGGCCGCCCCATCGCCGTCCCCTACGACGGCACCGCGCGGTACCGGACCGCGGCGGGCCCGGGGCGGGAGGCAGCCCTGCCTGGGTCGGCCGCCCCGGCTCGGCGTCTTCGGTCCCATTCGTGCCCGCCGCGCAGCCTACGCCGGGGTCCCCGCTCGCCGTGGCCGCCACCCGTAGCCGTGAGCCCGGTGCCGGGCTGCCGCGCTCCGCCGGGCACGGGGTGCGGCCCGATCGGGAACACGCCCAGAGCCCGCCGCGTGCCCCGGGCCGAGCCGGGCCGGGCCGGGCCGCCCCGGCGGGACCCCCGCCGCCCCCCGCGCCCTTACTGTTGGTAGTCCTGCTTGCAGTAGAGCTTGCGGTCCCGGAAGTAGCAGCTGGTGGTGAGCGCCTGCTGGCACGCAGCGCACTGTAGGCACTCCTCATGCCAGGAGGACTCGTTCACCCGCATCAGGAACCGGTCCGAGATGGGCCGCTGGCAGCCCTCGCAGACGGCCTGGTGCTGGCACTCCGACCCTGCAAAGGCAGACGGCGGCGTCAGGCGCCGGCCCTGGCCCCACCTGGCCCCGCTCCCGGCCCCGACACAACCCGGCCCCGCTCCCCAGTCCCCGTCCCGGGCAGCGCGGTCCGCCCGGCCCAGCCGGCCCGTAACACCGAGCTCGACGGCCGCCGCCGGTCCCGCGCACCGCACATGCCGGCGAGACAGTCCCGCGCCCCGCACGGCTCAGGGGCTGACCGGCCACAGTGGGCATCAGAGCGGCCGGGCCCGCGGAGCGCAGCCCGGGCACCGAGCGGTGCGCGGGACCGCTTTCGTCGCAGTCGAGAAGCGACCAGTAACTCACCCAGCAGCACTCCCAGCGTGGCCGGCCCCGAGCGCAGGGGGTGGTCTTCCATTTTAATGCCGTCCAGCATCTTGGCGCAGTCCGGTGGGCCCCGCGGGAAGCACCTCTCCAAGGACTCGGGACCCGTCGCGATGTCCATGAGCGGCGGCGAGAGGCGCTGCCGGGCGGCGGGGCCGGCTCAGCCCCGCGTCGGGCCGGGCGCGGGGACACTCTGCGGCCGGGAGGAAGGAGTCGCTTTTATTTTTATCTGGAAGACATGAGGAGCGTTTCCTGCCCGGGCTTCCAGAGACGGGGGGCAGAGGCAGGAGCCGGCGCCGCCGCCCATGGGGCCGCCCCGCTACACGGGCGCGCACATGCCGCGCACACGGCGCCGGGCAGCCGCGGTGTCACCTGCTCGCCGGCAGCGCCGGACCCACGCCCTGCTTGGCGCGGAGGGCCCTCCCGGGGCGGGCCGTGCCGGGCGGAGCGCGGGCGCGGCGGGCCGGGCGGGGCACGGGGCTCCCGGCGCTCCCAGCCCCTGAGCCGTGCGGCGGCCCGAGGAGCCGCGCCGTTTAGAGCAGGGGCCGCGGCGGAGGAACACACCCCCCGGCGCCTCACCCCTCCTCAAACTTGCTGACATTTGAACTCCATTGGTGCGCGGCGTATCGCTGCGCCGCGGTGATCCGTCTCCTCGACGTCAAATAGTGCCCTGGCCCCGCCGGGCCCCCGCGGCCCCTGAAGCGCGGCGGCGCCCGGGGCGGCCGGCTCCGTGCACCCCGGGGCGGCCGAGCGGCGCGGGCAGCGCGGGCCCGGGTCGCGCCCCCGAGGGCCACGGAGGGGGAGAGCGATCTTGGCTACCGAGGGTGGCGGATGAGCGGGGCCCCGGCCGCTCCGCTCCCCGCTCCGCGCCCCGCGCTGCTCCTGGCCCGACGGCGGCTCTTGGCTCCTGCCCTGGCCGGGGTAGGTAGCAGCGCGCGTCCGGCGCCGGGCCGCGGGCAGGTGGCGGCCGGACCGTCCCTCGGGGCGCCCGGGGCCGGCGGGGACGCGGGTCTGTCCCGCGGACGGCAGCGGCGCGACCGGCCCCGGCGGGCACGGGCACGGGCAGCGGGACCGCGCCGCGCACGCCCTTCCCAAGGGCGGCTCCGAACCGTCGCGGCGAGGCTGCGGCGGGGAAGCCCGGGCGGAGCAGCGGCCCGGGGGCTGCGGTGCTTGCGCGGCGGCGGAGCCCGTGCCCGCTCCCGGCAGCGCTGCCCGCTCGGGTTGGTCGCCGGCGCTCTGGAACGCGCGGGGCTCGGTGCGGTGCGGGACAGCCCGCGCCCCCCGCGCCGGGATTCCCTCTGAGGAGAAAACCGACGGGAAAGCGATCCTGCGTGGAGCGCCGGACCCCGCGCTGCCGGCTCCCCTTGCGTGCTTGTTTTGTTTGTTCGTTTTTGTTTCTGTCTTTGTTTGCTTTTTTCCTCCCCCGATACCGTTAAAAATCTAAAAATGAGGAAATGAAAATCCAGGAAAGATTCTTTGCTGAGATTCTTAATGTGATCTGTGATATGCCACGACCCTGTCAAAAGAAGGAGTATATTTTGTAATGCTCCCAAAATATTGATACTTAATAAGCAGGACGAGTGTTAACTTGAATTACTTTATGCTTCTATTTTGTGGGTCTTAAGATAAAACTTCTTTTTATGCCGTTTTCGCACGGAAAAATTATTTGAAAGAAATTCGTCACTGTGTTTGAGTAAATTATTTTGGAAAAGGTTTTCAGGAATAGAGCCTATTTGTTTTTGTTCTGGACGGTAGAAATCGGAAAATCTTTGTCGTTAATGCTGAAAAAATAATATATGATTATTTAATTCTGAGATCAAGATAAAGGCTGCTAAGATTTCACAGTTCAATCAGTGGCGCAAAAGCTGCTCGTGTACATTAATTTTTTATGTCCCCTTCCTATTTTCGCGTAAGGATTTGGAGTTCTCCATCACACAGGGCTTCCATCAAATTATCTTCTACAACTGCGTGGAAAATTAAAGCCCCTGTTTCCTCAGGAGTTTTCATAAATTCTGGCTATAAAAGAACGAGAAAAAAAAACCACCTCCTCAAAACCCAACGAAAAGGCAGCGCTGAGCAGCGGGACCGGGAAGCAGAGCGAAAGCCCCAGCCCTGCACCCGCAGCAGTAATTCCAGCTTTGTTCGTGGGCTTTTACTCCCAAATATCGCACTAAAGGTTTGTTGCTTCTCTCCGTGTGTGTATACGAGCACTGCGCCGGGAAATTGTTATCCCCGCTCCTGCCCCGAGAACAATTCGATGAGGTGTTATATAGGTTTATATAATGCTTTTAACGAAAAACGAAATGCAATTAAAACACCCACGCGCAAAACCATCACAGAAATAAACCCTAACCAGACTAAGTAGCCCCACCTCCCCGCGGCTTCCTTCGAATTGTCCTTTTATTTGCAAGGCAAATCTCTTTGTTTTGAGTTAAATTTGAGAGTCGAACAAGAAAGCCGGTCCCAATCCTTCCCAAGCGAGGCAGGAGGAAGGAACCATCGGGATTGCTAACAACGGCCGAGCCCGCTGCACCGACTCCCTCCCGGGCCGCGGGGACGCGCCGCTCCGTCCCGGCTCCCGGCCCGTCGGTCCCGCCGGTGCACAGCACGCACCCGGCGCCGCGGGAGCGCAGTCGTGAGCGGGACAGAACCGCGCGGAGCCCGGGAAGGCCACGGCCGTCTCCGCACGAGGGAAGGGGGCGCCGGGCTTTCTCCGCCAAAGCGTGCGGTGCGGCGGATGCGCGGGCGTCCGTGCAGCCTGCCCGCGCACATTCCCGGCTGCCCGGACGCGTGCTTTCCCCAGCACCGACGGGCACCGCCCGCTCCCCTGCTGAGGTGGGCACGACCAGTGGGGTGCAGGGTCGGTGCGGGCCGTGCGGGCCGGCGGTGCGGCGGGCGGTGCCGGCGGGGCCGGGCCGGGCTGTCCCGGGCGGGCGGTGCCGCCGGG